CATGTTATATACAATATCAAATAAAGAAATGATGCTTACCTATGAGGGGAAACCCCCCCAAAAAAAAAAAAAAAAGAATTTATAAAAGAAATATAAAATCATTAACTTAACAAAAAAAATCAAATTTAAAATCAAATTTCTATTAAGTATTAGTCTTTTTATTATCTATTTAAAATATATTAATATATTTAATTTCAGTTCACACCTAGCACAAATAATTAAGTATGAATATAATTATTTATACCATTCCAAGAAGAATCAAAAATTATATTATTATAAGTTTTTTTAAAAAAACAAAAAAATATTTCAAAACAATTTTTCAAAACTTTTTTAAACTTCAGATCTAATTTTATTACAAATAAAAGTTAAAATTCTATACAAAATTCTAATTCTAAATAAAAACATTATAGCAAGCATAATAAAATCTCTTCACTTCTTCTATAAATTCAATTTATTGCTAAAAATTCTAAAAATTCTTTTTAATTTTATATTTGATTCTTAAGTTTATATTAAATTTAATAAATGAAATATATTCTACTATTATTTTTAAGTGTTCTAAATCTTATATAATTCTTTGCAATTCTGATCAATTTTAATTTTTGAAACTATACTTATTGCTCAACTCATATTTTATTATTCTTTCTGACTTAGATAATTTTTTAAGACCTTTTTAAGGAAATTTTCTACCTATTTTCAATCAAAAAAAAAAAAATCTTAGGAACTTAAGCAATATAATCAAAGAACTCAAAAGATTTTTACTGTTTTCTTTAAAATCTCTTCATTATACTTTGATTTTTATTATTTAAACTTTCTTTCTTTTTTTTTCTGATCAGTTAGATCAAGAATTTCTATATATCTTTTTACTTGATACATTTACAAACAATATTAGTGAAATTATTAAAAGATTTAGATTCAAATACTATATTGAATATCTTTTTTTCAATTTTTTTAAACTTAAACAACTTCTTTTTATTAACAATAAATAAAATATTGTTTAAAACTGAAGATTCAAATTCTTACTACAAATTTATATATTTCTTAATTTGAATTCTAATTCTTTTTTTTTTTAGATCTATACTGGATCAATTTAAATTAGAGCTTTTAAAAGTACTAAACTAGTATTTAACCAATATTGAAATATTATTAATCTAAAGTAAATTTATATATGTATTATAATCTACTTATATAATTTTATAGTAAATTTAAGTATAAAACTGGTATCAAAATAGTATTGAAATGATATTGTTAGTAATCTTAATTTTGATATTTTACAAATTAACAAACCAAAGCTATGAAAACTAAAAAATATCAATTCAGGTTTAACATTAGATAATTATCTTATAATAATTTTTTGTTTAAAAAAAAAGTTAAAATATTCTATAATTACTAAGTTTTCAAAAATTTTAGAAGATTAATTTATCAATTCAAGAATTATTCTATTAAAGGATTTAAAGAAAATTAATAAGATTCTATCAAAGAATTTAAAAAAAATTAATAAGATTCTATTAAACACAAACTTAATAACTTTTAACTTTTCTCTTATTAATAATGATATTTTTTTAACAGTTATTTATCAACTATTTAAAATATTTTTTTATCAAGCTTTCAGAATTTCCACTTATTAAAGAGATACTTCCAAAACCTAATTTGATCTTATCTTTTTTTTTTATTAACTTCTATAAATATAAATTTTACACTAATTTTAATAACTAACTTCAACCTATATAATATTCAACTGAACTCAAATAATAATAACAATTGTATTCTCTTATCTTTTTGATTTCATTTACTATTAATTAATATTATTTTTCTTAACCATCTTTAAATAATATCTTTAAATACCTTTAATAATAACTTAGTTTCAAATTTAATACAAAATCCAATTATCTTTATAACTATAAATATTAAAGATCTTAATAATTTTTTTAAATTCAAAGTCTTTACAAATTATATTTTAGATTGAACAATTCTATTTTGCACTGAAATCAGGTTTAAACAAGAAAATTTTTATTACAAAAATATTTATAATAGATCTATAATCTATAGCAATTTAAATATTATAGCAAAAAACAAGATGTCTCTTATTATTAAACAAAGTCTAATTTCTTATATATATCAAATAATTAGTTATTCTGAATATTGTTTTTTTATTTTTTTTCAAATTTATGAGAAAAATCAATATTTTTATCTTATTAATTTATTTATTACATAACAAATTAAAATAAAAAATTGTAACTAAGCAAATTTTTCAAATAATCAAAACCATAATTAACAACAAATTTCATTATACAATTTTAGAAGACTTTAATATTTATTCTAAAAACAATTCATTAATATTTCTATATTTTTTAACAAGCAATATTTCTATAAATATATATATAACTATATTAATTTAAGTCAATACTTTGATAAAAGAATATTTACTTTTATTACTTTTATTAATGTTTTTTGAATTAACCAAGCATGGTTCACAAAAGTCTTATTTTCAAAATAGTTTGATATAAAATTCAAGAATATAATTTTATTTCAATTAATTATTACACAATATTAATTAATTTAAATTATTTTGAGTTCAAAAAAGTCAAAAATATATATAAATTCTAAATTAATAAAACATTAAATTATAGACAAGTTTCTTTATATTATTTAATTGGGATAAATTTTATAAACAAGTATATCAAAAAAGTAGAAATTAAAGTGATTTCTAAAATTTTTTACTCAAGTATAAAGAAAAAACCAAAAAATAAAACCAAAAAAATTAATATCATTATTTTCAAAATCAAGAACAATCATATAATAATAAAGTTTTCAGGGCAAAAACTTTGTAATATATATAATATTATTAATAACAATTAAGGTATTTCTCTTTAAGATCTAAAAAAACTTAAAAAAACTTTAATTTAAGAGACTTTAGTTCAAGTCTAACTAGAATTTATAGAAAAATTTCAACTAAACCAAGAAAAATTTGTTAAAAATTTCTATAGTAAGCCAAAAAGTTATATTAGCAAAGCCTTGGATTTTTTAAAATTGAGACTTGATTTTACAAAAAGAATTATTTGATAAAATAAAATAAAAATTTTTCATTTAATTAAATTTTTAAAATACAAAAATTATTAGTACAATATTTTTATTTTAATTTATATAACAAATAACAAAAATATTTTTCTAGTTCTTTTATTTATAATTATTAATATAATAATAACAATAATAAATAAATATTATAAAAATATATATATATAACAATATTTTCAATTTATTTTATTAAAATTTCGATTAATAATAGAATACTTCTAATTATAATTACAATATTTAAAATAAATCATAACAATTATTTTAAATATATAATTAACTTGATTTTTTAAAAAATACAATAACATTAATTTTTAAAAATCTGATTAAATGGTTATACTTACTTGATATTATCTAATTTTTTAGATTATTAATAAAGAATAGCATTTAATACCTTTTAAAAATAATAATAAATAAATAAATATCGTATACTGTAAAAAGAGGTATATCAAAAAAGAAAAAGAAACGAAACCCATTTAATAAAAAAATCGTATATTTAAATTTTTGATTTTTATATAATTAAGACAAAAATAATTGTTTAAAAAAATATTTACATTGTATTTTTTTTTGTTCGCAATTGTAAGAAATAAATCTATCCAAGTTTTATTTTGCTTGAATAAATTTAGTAAAAATAACAATACAAATTTAACAAATAAATGCGATGAATAATATCGTCTTGGTTACGTTTGTTTTTATTAAAAGTATGTGCAAATAAACAAAGTCTAGAAAAATAAAATGATTTTCACAAATTTCCAGTAACTATTGGTCTCCGATTATTTTGTTGAAATGGAGTCGTGGTGGTTATAACAAAGAGATAATTTTCTTTTTGTTGAGCTTTCTTTTTTTTACAAAGCACGAGTTTTTTGCTAACGAAATTTGGAAAATGGATTAGAATTCCTTGTACAATAACTGTGTTTGTACACCTCGAGTCTTTGTACATATTCAAACGGTGATACCAATGCGCACTTCCGTTTTTGAAGGACGGATCTTAATTCCGGATGCCTTTTCTTAATAAATTCGACTTTAACGCTCCTCAACATTTAATTATTTATAGCTGATCGAAGGTCAGGATTCAAATTTGACATCATAAAATCAAAGAGAGAGAAGAATGATGAAAATCAAAGGCGAAAAGAAAAAGAAAGAGTCACCAACAGATGCATGGGATTCTGTGAAATTTGCTTTAACTCTTGGTGAAATAATCAAACCTTTTGTGCCGTTGTTTGCCGAAGTTTCAACAATTACAAAAGAAATCATCAAGGCATATGATGACGCGCAGTATAACAAAAAAAGTTGTTCTACATTAATTGATCGAGTCCAAGCTGCAGACATTGCCGTTCAAGCTTTGAATAGGCGCAAAGATGAGAATGAGGAAAAATTTAAAAACGAAAGATTTTATATTTCCTTTGAAAGGTTCGTAGCCATTTTGAAACAGGTTAGAACTTTTGTACAAGATGTTACACGCCTTTCAGGATACCAAAAATTCATTTCGAGTGCCAGTATTAAAGAAAGATTCGCGCAAATCACTGGAGAATTTGATTCTTGTGTATCAGATTTAAAGCTTGCTATGATAATTTCTAACGAAGAGCAAAGACAAAGAGACTTTCAAATACTTGAAGAAGATCTAGCAGAAATGGCAAAGGTAAAATTATTCGAGCGTCTTGTTGTAATTATCACTTGTATTCATTTTTTTTTTATTCATTGTTAAATAGTTTATAGAATCAATTGATGGAGGTGTTACAACGATGATGAACGTAGGACATGAAAGTTTCAAGGGTATCAGTACTATTCTCAAGGAAGTTCGAATCATGAACGAAAAGGTTGAACTTTTGATACCCTCTAGTGGACGATTAACATCCAGGACTCAATCGGCGGTCAACATAAATGAGGATTTTCAACCGACAAATATTGATCCTAATGATCTAGAAGATGTCCCCGAACCCGAAAATAAACGCGGCAAGGTTATAAAAAAGCATCTCAAGAAACAATTGAGTGATGTCTGTTGCAAGCCCATAAATCTTGATGTCGAGAAAAGCGAGAAACAACGGATTCAAGCACAACTGGCCATTCTTGGAAAATTACAACAATCACCACAAGTCATTAAATTTTGGGGTCTCTCAAACGTTAATAACGATACAGTTTTAGTATATGAATGGGCACAATATGGAACTTTGAAAGAAGTATATGAAAAATTTGAACTTGACTGGCATCGCAAATTAAAGATCGCTATAGACATTTGCCGTGGAATTGCTTTCTTACATGGATGTGAGATATTTCATCATGACATTCGATGTGCTAATATATTGGTAGGTGTTGTATAAGCCTGCTCCGTGTCATCGAAGAATTGGATTTTTTTTAATTTGTGATCATTGCGATAATTATAGTTAACAGAAAAGATGGAACCCAAGATTACAAACTTTGAATTTGCTAGAGTTCATCAAGAAAAATCAATTAAAATCAAAAACATAATAAATGTTCTGTACTGGATGGCCCCAGAAAAAATGAAGTATCATAAAGCTGTGAGTGAAAAGAAATCATCGGCTCATGTTCCATACACAGTTCAGTGTGAAATCTTTAGGTAAAAAGTAAAATCCATTTTGTTCATACCAAAATACAGTTTTTATTTACTTATTTCTTGTTTTAGTTTTGGAATGCTTCTCTGGGAACTCGCATTTCAAAGAATTCCATATGCTAACATGGAGATGACAAAAATTCTGGAACACGTGGTAAATGGAAAAAGGGAAAGATTTGATTTTGGGTTGTCTCCAACTTCACTTCAATATAATTTTCAAACAATCATTCAAGCCGGTACTGTCATCAATCTTTGAGTTACGAAGCCATTTGATTCTATAATCATCTGTCTAATTAAATGGATTCTTAATTTACAGCTTGGCAACATGATCCATCACTTCGTCCAGATGTAAAATATTTATTCAACAAATTGGATAGCCTTTTCAAAGAGAATTTTGCTATGGTCAATTCTCCACTACTCAGGCCTCGAAAACCAAAAGATGTTGATTCGATCACCGATTTTGTCATAAAAGAAGAATTTTACATAAAAGATGATATTCCATTTGAACCTCTGTTACCGCTCGAACAAGGAATAAAAGCCCACAGAAAAGGTGAGCATGAGAAGGCATGGAAATGTTTTGAGGGGCATGCTGATATAGATAATCCAATAGCAAAGTATTATAAAGCGTATTACCTTTGGGATGGTATTCATGTGACAGAAAATAAAGATATTGCCCTGAAATTATTTAAAGAGACGGCAGATCGAGGAGTTACCGAAGCTCAATTAAGATATGCATTTGCGTTGGCCGAACGGGTAAAGCCACTAGACAGTGCTGCTTTTGTAAAGTATTTGACTTTAGCGGCTAATGGAGGAAATGTTGTGGCCCAATACAATCTTGGAGATTTATACATTAATGGAAAATTAGGATTTAATAAGGATGAGACGAAGGGAATCGAATATCTGAGGTTGGCAGCTTTCGGAGAGCATGAAAAAGCGATCAAACTTTTACAGCATTTAAATATCGATATATATAAATCCTAATCATTTTTATAGTGCATTTTGTTTTTGATTTTTGTACAATGGGCAAGGTGTATATTTGATGCGGCTCTTTAAATAAATTTTTTACTCTTAGACATCATAAAGTGTTTTCGCAAATTATTCAGCCATTCATGTAGGCTGACGAAAATACTACACTCGCCATGGATGACCAAATGGTTGATTTGAATCCTATCGGTCAGTCAATCTTTAAAAAGATGTGATGATATTTTTACTCGTCGTTTTCGTCTTCTTTATAACGAATTGTTAAGTAAAGAAGATTTCTTTGATTTTGTAAGATAATGGATAAGTAAAACGTATATTACATTTCTGTGAATTTTGTCTCATAATATCAAAATTGATCTAGTGAAAGATTTTTAGAAACCAAAATTTGGAACAAACTTTATTAGTAACCTACAATTTTCCCTAAATTTCAAATGAATTTTGTAACCATCAAAGATCGAGAAACGAAACTACTACGGTATAAGGGTAAAAATTCTAATAAGCAAAAGTTTCAAATACTACCCTATTAATTCTCCGGATTGCAGATCCATCAAATGTATAATGAAACCTTGGCAAAATGCTCAACGTCTTAATAAGCCCCTTTTGCCTAAGCTTATGAGAATATGAAATCAAACTACCTTTATGGGATAAGTATAAATCTTCTTCGCATAAGTATTCAAATTTCCTTATAGGAATAATATAATCATCTAGAAATTCGGTTAAGGTCGAATCCGAAATGATCCAGTTAGTACTCAGATGAGATATTGTTGAATCTTTCCAAATTTCAACAAAATCGAGAAAAAATTCATCAGCTTCGACTTCTTTCCGTGCCCTTCCAAGAACCAACTTTTTAAGAAACTTTAGTTCAGCAACAAGCTTCAAGAACTCGTCTATTTCCTCATCTCCACCAAGGGGAAAAGACAAACTTTCTAGTTGAGGGCAATTTCTCAATGTTCTCAGAATTTGAACATTTTCACCATAGGGATGATACTCTATGTCTAATTCTTTTAGCTTATGGCCACAATTCTTAATGAATATTCTTAAATTTTCTGCGATTTGAACTTCTTTTGAATCATAATTGAAACGTAAATTTAGAGTCCGTAAGTCTTTAAACACGCAGGCCGCGAGCATCTCAAAAAGCATAATATTTGGATAGTAATACAAATTTGTTGTGATGTCAAGTTTCTGCAAATTATTACATCGTATTAGATGTTCCATTGTAGTGATGTCGGTTATTGTAAAATGTTCAAATTTAAGTTCGATTAGCGACTCTGACTGACTTTGGAGAGCTGACATAATTGAGGAAATATCATAACTCGAACTGACACAAAAAACCAGCCTTTTCAAGCTATGTTGATTTGTGATGATCATGGGAAAATGGGTCCTTAAGGATTCAGCTGAGGTTCTAACATCTTCGATCTCAAGCACAGAAATATTTCGACAGAACCGAGCTATCCCGCTTAACAATCCTTCGCAATGAACTTGCTTCAGTGATAGCGATTCCAGGTGAACCAAACAATTTGAAGCCCCCTGTATATTCTGAAGGTCGTTCAATAAATGTTTATAATGTATCGAAATAAATCCATTGATGGAAAGATGCGTGATTTTGCTGGAACTTTTTAAGAGGTGTTTACAAATTTCTGTTACTAATGTTACGGTTCTGCTAGAAGATTCTTCGGTTTCACTATCTTCATCAATATTAATATAGGTATCGTCTTCCATACATCGTCCGTAGGTCATACACTCTTCCACGATGACTCCAAGTTCGTCGTCAACCAAATCGTTATTCTCACAACAACAATCTCTATCCTCGTTTCCTTTTCTATTGTATTCAACGCGAAACTCGGAGATAGCGTATCCATATAAAAGCCACCTTTCCGAAATCTCATTTAGGCATGGCATATCAAAACTCCGCAGGAAACTTGCATAGTTGTACAATGGCGTTTTGTAATTAACCTTTGGTATGTCGGATTTATCCAAGATATTCCGTGAACTTTCATCAAGCAACGAAATGTATACTGGGATTATCTCGTAAAGATTTTGGAGGTTCAATTCAAGGCCATTGGAAAATGGTGCTTTCCATAAGTATGGCATACCGACTGAACACCAGCTCCGGTTAACCATCACCATTTTTCGAATTACTATCAAATCTTGGTGAGCCTGCTCAAAAATATTACTTATTACTTCAAGCGGTAACCTGGATGCCATAATTTTCTAGCACACGATACTGAAAAACGTTTAAATTTTGTGGAAAATTAGGGTTTTACAATCGCGTATTCCTCAACTATAACAAAGCGGGTTGTGAAGGCGAGAAATAAATAAATAAGTAAATAAATAGACTGTTGTGATGAGATACAATTGGTAGAATTCGCGTCATGTTTTCACATACCACATGATTTATCCGGAAATTACTAAATTGCGATTTAAATTCATTATTAAATTTTGACGTCATGATTACGTATAAATTTCTCAGGCTTCCATTACCTCATGTAAAAACTGTATGATTATGATTATATTAATTATAACGATAATACCAAATTTCAATTATTGTATATATTTTTCTTATAGTAATCGATAAACACATTTTTATGTCATTACATCTATTTTATTAAATTTATTATTAAATTTTATAAAAGAAGTATAAAAGAAATAATAAAGTTAATAATCTAGTGATTAATTATTAATTCAAATGTTTTAAAATAAGTTGTTATAAAAAAACAAATAATAAATAATATCGTATTAATTTATAATTTTTTTTAATTAATTATTTCAACTATTGTTTCAAAATAATATTTACCAATTATTTATTTATATTTTTTAATGTCTTGTTAAATAAAAACAATAATTTATTTTTATTATTTTTATGTTCTGTTTTTTTTTTGTTTTTTTTCAAAAGATATTTTAAATTTATTTTTATTAAAAAACTTAAATAATTTCAAATAATATATATTTTTCTTTTTTTTATCTTAATTAATTTTTTTTTTTAGTAGGTAAACATCATTTCTTTATTTGATTTGTATATGTCAAGGTATACATCATGAAAGAAACAATATCTCTCATACGCTATTGCGATAAGTTAAATGCTAGCTTGCCTACAGCAATTACTTGACTAATATTGAAAAGAAAATTTAAAATAATATATCTTGCCAAGTAGCACCGAGTGGCTATGGTTACCTACTCAGTATTAGGAGGTGAGGAATTAGTCAACGATGAAATTAAATTTTGGATACACTTGGTGTAATTATATTTATAATGAATAAAAGAGTTAGTGACTATAGTAGGTAAATCAACCGTAGTTTCTTGAGAGGAAGTGTTGGTAGATGAAATTTCGTCTATTAGGTTGTGAGTGTCAGTAGTTCTGACGGAGTAAGATGAAGTAGAGGATTTGTTATTAGAGTTCCACTTAATTCCTGTGATTGGTGAGGTATTGGCTGTCGAGCAGTGAGGTTTCCAGATTAGATTATATAGCTGAGTCAGGATTTCTAATGCTGCCTTAACCCAGTTAGAGAAATCGGAAACTGAAAATATCTCGTTTGTAATGCCACATAACAATTCAACGACTTGCCATATGTTTGAAATTAGAGATTGATTATTGTCTGATTGGAGTATTTGGTTAATGATCGTGATGATTTGGTCAGCTTCTTTGAAGGTCTCAGGACATTTGAAGACATGTTTTATATCTTCAGACAAAGTTCGCATCTTGGACATAGAGTGTCCCGATATTGGCTAGGATATAACTGATGTAATTGTTGATAAGTAGGTAGGGTTCCTGATAATAATTTGATTCTGAATGCAATAAGGTTGCTATAATTATTGTTGCGTAGTTTCTCGATTTCTTTGTTGGATTTATTAATAATTTTTAAGCCATGTGAAGTATACGTGCGTTGGAAAGTTTGGAGAACAGACGAACTTTTGCAAATCATGTAGTCTCTAGTAATGCCGAAGATCTTTTTGTCCCATCTGACATTGCTACTGAGGCAAGAGTTGTTGATTAGTGGACTTTCAGGAAAGTGTAATGGAGGGTTGTTCCATTGGATAGTTTTGGATATTGTTGATTTGGATTTAGGTTTGGTGTATATAATTTGGATAGATTTTTGTTGTATTTGTTGATTTATTTTTTGGATTAATATAGAAAAGTTGATTTTAACTATTCTTCTGGAGTACTCAGGAATTGGTTAAAGGATTCTTTTGTTACTTCTTATTTCGATAGTATTGCAATATGAATTCCACTAGGCGATATCCAATATTGCAAATAGAATATTGTCTGGTGATAGGTATGAATTGAGGGATGTAACTTTGATATTGTTTATAATTAGGTTCTCCTTGTGTGATTGAATGTGAATGTAATGCTGTGAGCCGATTTCTTGTAATAGAGTTTGGGGGCTGAGATTGTTAGGGATGTTAATTTCTTGTAATATATGTTCACTATCTTGTGATGAGTTAGAAATTTCCTCTAATATATTGAGTAGATGATATTTTGAACTGTTGAATGGATTGAATAATACCCATAGTGTTGAAGCAGTAGAGCTTGTGAATTCTAGCCAACAGAAGCCATGGGAGGTTGAACCAACTGGGCAGCCTGGGCATCTGATAAGATTGTTATTATAATTGATTGTAAAGTGTTTTCCTTTAAGTACTGTCCTTTTATGTACTAGTTGGTGTCTTTTGTGGACTTGGACTATTGTACTTGTATCGTGGAGAAACCAGAATGTTGATTTGAAATTTGGAACTGGACCGTAGGATCCATTTATCTTAATTAATCTTAAAATTTTAATTAACTTAAATATATTATAAAAATTAAAATAAAACAGTTTAGATAACATGTCTATATTTATATAAAAAAATTATAAAATATATATATATACAGAGGGTACCCATATTATTGTGGACACTTTTTATTATACAATAAAAAAATTTTTTAATAAAAAAAATTAATTT